TATATATATATATATATATATATATATATATATATATATATATATATATATATATATATATATATATATATATATATATATGAGTATATATACATACATGTGTTTGTGTGTGTCTAAATGTATATGTATTATGTGTGTGTGTGTGTGTGATGAAATACTATGAAATACTGGCAGCAACCTGTTTCTTGACAAAATTGATGAGGCATTCTTGTAATATAACCACAGGAAGTGGAGTGCATTTTGGCTCAATGTTCCTAATCCACCTTAGAGTTCTTGATGGGAGAGTGCTATTTTTCTGGAAAGGTAAAACCTCAGAAAGTTGAAGGTTTTCCTGTTCAAAAAAACAAATGAGTCAAATGACTCGAACTCCAAGATGAAAAAAATCAAGGCACACTTGAACATCTGACCTTGAGAATTGGCTGGGAAGCATAAATCATTTGGTCATGGAGCAGCAAATGAGGGAAGTAATAATAGACAATTTAATGGGTCACTAATGCATTCAGTTAATGAGTTAATGAAACCAATGGAACCATGAATCTAAGAGATCAATTGGAGCATCTAACCAATTTACTTTAGTACTGAATCCTTGACAAATCTTGGTACTTAGCTTCGATTGTGATCTGTAATATACTAATGCATCATCCAAAGTACAAAACACTAAAAAACAAGCTATTACTACATCTAATTACTCCCTCCATCCCAAATTCAAAGTCCAATTTGACCGAAAAGTGTTGAAAAGTGAAAAGTGTGGTTGGAATTGATTTGAAACTTGAAAGAAAGGGATAATGATAGCCACATAATACTTGCCAAAAAAAGAAAATGTGACATTATTTTGGGATGGACCAAAAAGAATAGCGTGTAATTTTTTTTGGGACAAATGGAGTACTAGTTGTCCGTTTGAAACACACTTCTTAGTACCTAGGAAGATCCCCTTGCAAAATCATATCATATCTCAAACCATCTTCCCTCTATGATGATCGCAGAACTTGGGGCCAACCATTTTAGTTAATATTAGTTTCAAAATTTTGAGCCACAATATTATAAACTTGAGCCTCCAATGCTAATGATCAACTTATATAATTAGATGTGATTCTATAAGATATTCAGGCTGAAATATCATTCATATTTCAGCAGTGAGAGGTTATAAGCATAACCAAAAAGTGATTACCTGGAAGGGTGGAAGAAGAGTTGGAAAAGGAAACACCTCTTCAAGAAACTTAGAATCTTCTTCCAGTCGAATACGTTCAGATTCACCAAACTGGGAACCATAGATGCAGTTTGTATGTTTTGAAATCAGGGACGATTCAACATTTTCACTAAATACAGCAGTTCTTAATCCATCGTCACTTAAAGAGGGCAGGAAGAAGTTTTTAGATAAATTCAAAGCATCCCAATAATCTTGTTTTCTAAGAAGAAAGTCTTGGCTCACAGTCATTGCTGGATTTTCAGGCAAAAATGTTCTCTGAAGTTCATCTACTCTCTTTAACATTACCTTCTCCCCTTTCAGATCAATACTATCTGCATTATCATTATTATTGGATTCCTTTCTCTTATGTGAAATTGAATGTCGCAACAGCTTATACCATTCTTTATTGGAGCTCATCAGCATATCTAAAGACTTGTTCTTCTCAATTTCTTGATTAAATGATTCAAATGATGGACGAATTTCGCTTTCCAGTTTAAAGTATTCGGAGATGTGATCCCCATAACCAATAAGTGCTGATAATGAGATGCAAAATATCTCTGACAAGGTTAACCCCCTAGAGGCACACTGTGTACTCCCTTCACCACTGACAGGTTTTAACATGGACATACAAGGAGCATAGTGGATTAGCTGCAAAGACTTTCCAGCAGAGAGAATTGTCCTTGATATGCCTTTCATGAACAAGGGACATGCATAACCAGTCCCTCCTGTTTCTTTCGCTTTGACTTGAACAGATGAGGCTGGTGTTCGAATGGACATATCTTTTCTCGCCCTGGTTGAAGATAAAGAATCACAAAGCACATCAAACTTCTCAGAATTTTTTGATCTAAGCAAATAGCTTTTCTCCCAAAACTCTGCCTCATTAACTGTGACTGCTTTGTTATCATAAAAAAACATCTGCAACATTCCCAAAAAAAGAAGGCATCAGTTTTGCATGTATCGTGGAAGTAAACAATAGCATAAGTATATTTGTCTAGAGAGTGCCCAATGTGAATTCAAAGCATCATGTGACATTCCGGAACTTATCTTTTTCCTTTTAGGTTGTCCAAATAAAAAATAATTTACCCAAAAAAGTTACCTCCTCGAAAGGATCATCAAGTGTTCCATCAAAAATCCATGAATCGAGACTTTCTATATATGGCAAAAGACTCCCAACAAATATATGTAGTGTCATTCGATATGCACCCTCCTGAAAACATGAAATCTTATTTAAGTAAACACATAGCATTAGGATGCAAGCCTCTGTTCGGATTTAGTTGTCCATTTTTGAAAATACATCATATTTAAGGAATGGGGTGAAATCACATATAATTCCTTGAAATTAGTTGTTTTTGCATGGATGACAGCAATACTAATATACCTTTGAAGAGTTTTCTTAAAAAATTACTTATAACTTGTTTACTAAATATAGAGAGTGGACAATTAATTCTAGACGGCCCAAAATAAGAGAGTGGGAACTATATGCGAACGGAAGGAGTATAAGTTTAATAAGTGGTTACATGGTTTTAAAAACCTCACCCCTTGCAAAAGACAAACTTCATTCAACTTGTTATAGAGATGGTTGAGAATATGCACAGCAATATCAGCAGAAGATATGGCAGGATCTTGTTCAATGCAGGCTTTTGGGAGTGCTCCATGCACTATCTGTAGAAGATATTCAGCTCCTGCACACAGACTAGTAGAGAATGATTGTTGTCAAGGATTGCTCCAAATTCCAAAGTTCTCAAAAATGATGCAGTCCTACTTATTGTATGCTTGCGCAGAAAACCAGATATACATGCAGCGATTAGACCATTGAAGAATATTTTAGACTCGGTGAGGGCCCTTCTATTTGGTGGGAAATCAGAAGGAAATCAAGGCACATAAAATTATCAATGCCATTCCCAAAATTTCACAACAAAAAGAGAACAAAACACGTAACCAGCCCAGGAAATAGATGCCAAAGGAAACAAGAAAGGGAGCCTAATTATAATACTCCCTCAGACCCCACACAGTCACACCACTATTATGAATAAGGTAGAAGGTAGCATTTGCAGCAGTTAAAAGAAAGTAAGAAACTACGGAGTATGCTATAATATCTGCCAGAAATGTAAGTACGGGGATAATACTTCCTCAAAATGACAGAAAGCAGGAGCTGTAATAAAATTGCAATTAACTATAAATAATAATAATAATTTACTGACTCTGAAAAAGAATTTGAAAGTCCTAGAAGAGTTGGAGAAGTTCCAATGTTTGAGTTGTTTATTTTACTCTCCTCTTCTAGAGCATCATCACGTAGCATCTGCACGATCAGATTAAAGAAATGTTTGTGTTTAAATATAAGGGCATGGATTTCAAAATGGGAAAAGAAAAAAGAAAGGAATATGATCAATGAAGGTAAAATCAAAATAGTCCAAATGCCAGCAAATTGAAGAAATGTTTATGTTTCAAAATCGGGCCATGGACTTCAAAATAAGATGGAAAAAGAAAGAAAGAAAGGATAATGAGCAAGGAACATTAAAACTGAAAGAGTTCAAATGCTAACAGATGCATACTCTAAGCCAGGTAGAGATAGAGGATACAAATGCCCTCAGTGTGAGTGGAGGAGCTCTCGCAGATTTCTCGACCTTATTGATGATGATTTCAACTAGTTTTAAACATGTTGCAGCATAAGCAAATTGATTGAGGATGAGATGAAGACTTGTCTGCGATAGGTGGGTAACAAATATTCCCTTTATAGGGAAAAATTGATCTCTTGTATCATCCCAATAAAATAAAGAACTAGAGAAACCCTGTAATATGTGCAACACTCCTTTCACCTGATATTTTCAAAGATAAATGGAAAAGAAATATAAGAATATATAATGAGCTTTTGTCGCAGTAGAAGCATTCGAATGATTATGTAACTTACTAGATCAACTTCACTAGTCCTTAGTGATGATACTGGCTGTAGAAAATGTAATCCGCCAGAAAAGGAGCTATAAATTTTATCTATCAAACTTGTAGAGGATTCCATGTTTTCTTCTGGATATCAAATCATCTGTGTTTATAAAACAATTTATCATTTCGCAACATACAAGTCAAAACTAAAAATTTGAATTGCGTAACTAGCAAAACATGAAGTTCAAATTAGAATAACATTGCGATCTTTGAGGAAGAACCCCCCGATGCTCCCTCATACACAATATTTAGTGTTTGATAAGGTTAAAAAAAATCTTGAGTAACTATACTTTTTAAAGCTATAAGCTACGAGAAGGTTGATACTCTCTGTCATGCCCCGGAGAACTCAGCAACGTCGACAACCACTGCGTAATTCCTAAGGACCGCCCTTAAGTAGTCCATTATGCACCATACAAGGGAAACCAAAAGACATAACAGGTAACCCTAAACAGAAACCATAAATCAAGTAAACCGCTCAAGTGAAAGACTTTTTAAAAAAACAATTTGCCACAGTTAGAACCACAAAGGCACCCAGGTCCAAAAACAATGTTCAGTCAGGACACTCTTACCATTCAACATGATATCTGAAGGACGGAAATGATCTCATCAATGAAAGATCGACGAGTGGGTTCAGCAAGTGTTGATCACGAATGCACACAACGAAAACTTGAGTACCTGTGGTTTGGAATGAAAAGGAAAGATCACATCATAGTGAAGTTACACACAAGTTTACAAATCTCCAGTGTTGCAAGTCCCAGTACAGCACTAACAACATATGAAATGACAGGTCATAATCATATGCCAACAGGCTATCACCCAAACAAAACCAATTATAACTTCAATTAAACTTAAGCATTCTGCCTCGACCTGTTTATAAAGCATAACTTCAAAAAACAGTTTAAACCAGGCCCTTGGCCTCAACGGAGAGAAAAGGTTCAAAACAATAACCATAGAGTCGAGAAATAACCTTAGATTGTTTCTCACTTAGCATTGAACATATTAGGCCTCCGTAGTGGAACAAAGTCCTAATACTATGGGAATCCCGTACAATGGAAACCCCTCCTACGTGGCTAGGAAAAATCCCATTGTTGCCCATTGGTGTAACGGAGGTTTCCCCGTCTCCGTTCACCAATCAAGCATGTTGGGCGAGCACGCATCCTAAATAACCTTCGACCGTCAACACATTCCACCCATGACCCATTGGTCATAATAACCATCTCATCATGGAAGAACCCAAGTCCTAAATGATTTCAATGTTCCAAGCATTGTAACATTTGGCGAACATTCACATAAGGTTTTATTAGTGGAAACTATTAATCCCAAAAATATTGTAAGAACCACTTCGTACTCTAACAAAATCTGAACGAATTGATAAGAAAACTTTGACAACTTTACTATGGGAAATTGTCACACATTCTTTATTCTCAAATTAAAAAATAAGTAATAAACCAGAAATATCAATTCCTCAAAAATCACCAGGAACTTCAAGGTTTCATAGATAATTCAAAAATATAAATCCTTCAAAAATCAGCAAGAAGAAACTAAATTTTAGGTTTCAGCTAAAGAATGTCACAATGAAGATTTCTACTCAAGAACATCAAACTTTACGTTTCAACAACTAACATCCCAATTTAGGATTTACCTAAATTTTCCCAATCAAGGAAGTCATAATTTCTATGAAATTCCGAAAACTGAATTATTTACCCCACTCACCTCTAGGTAGAGAAACAGCAAGAAGAAACAAAATGGAGCGGCTTGATTCGCTTGGAGTCGAAATCCCCACTACCACTTTTTTGCCCAGATTCCGCCGCCCGGGCCTTGCTGCTTGTCACAGTGGAAGGCCGAAGAAGAATGCTTCGCCGTGGGACGCTGCCGCTACTTCGCCGCTAGGTACCGGACGTGGAACGCCACTCTGATGGTCGCCGTCTTCAGCGGCTCTGCACAGCAATAGCCGGTCGACCGCTTCAGCTCCCGCTCCCAAACGCCGTCCCCTCTCTCTCCCATCCCTTTTTTTAATTAGCCGTTGCCCCCTTTTTGTTTTGTTAATCTACCTCTAATTTGATTTTTTCAGTCAATTTTAGATAAATTTTTTAATGCATTAATGTAATCTTGTAACAGCTTTGAGTGTGGTAAATTTAATGATAGGTTTGGAATAACTAAAAACTTTTCAAAAACACTTAAAAAATACATACTAAAATTATATACTTTATAAATTTTAAAAATATTTAAATTATCAAAATTTCAATTTAAAACAGCGAGAAATAACTACTTAACAGAAAAATGAATGGAGTGGTGATAATATAATACTAGAGTACTAAACTAAATAGATTCAAGCAAATTTTCTTGGGACCTCCACTATGCAAGCATCATTCACTTTGTGACTTCTATTCCACGTCACAAATGTGTTTTAAATCACATATAACTAAACAATAAAATTACTCGGCATATGTTACTTGACTTTTTTTTGAACAAAGCACAATGTATTAAACACCTCACAATTCAGTTTACAAAAAGGCAAAAACCACCCTGCTACTAACCTACTTCAGAACACAGAACATGTCACTCATGGGCCTATTACATTTCCAGCACACATTTTGTTCCTAATCGACATGGTTACAGTAGACTTCAATCTTTGCAGCAGAGTCTCTGTAGTCATCTCTTTTCCACTATGTATCTTCATGTTCCTACCTTTTCATATCAGATAGCAGCAGGTCGTAATACAATTAGCATAAATCTTTCTTTCTTTTCTGTTCTTCCCCAGTTTCATCTTCACTCCCAGCTCCTCAATTGAACCTGATGACATGTCCAACCCTAGCCAATCTGAAATCTGTCTATGGACTTCTTTAGTGTAAGGGCAAGTGCAGAAGAAATGGGTACATGTTTCCTCCTCCAGATTACACAACACACAAGTAGTATCCACTGTGATGGATTTGTTGAGTCTATCCTTTGTCATTATTCTCCCCTTCCAAATCAACCAAGCTATGAAACAATGTTTAGGAATTGACCATTTACCCCATACCAGGTCAGCCCATCCCACTCTATTGTGTGTGCCCATAAGCCATTTATAACCATTCTGAATATTATAACTTTTTGTAGTATCCATGCCAAGGAAAAGCTTTCTATTTTGAATCAGTTTCTTCCAATAATAACAATCATCAGCCTTGGCAGTGTAATCCCAAACAAAAACCTTCTTGAGGTATTTGCAATGGACCCATCTTACCCATAGAGAGTCCTTTTTACTGGCTATGTCCCAAAGCAGTTTCATGATGCATGCCTGATTCCAAATTTTCAGATTTTTCAAACCAAGCTCACCTTCTTGTTTAGGTCTACAGACCTCTTCCCAGTTAATAAGAGGACTTTTCTTATACTCAGCAGTAGAACTCCAGAGAAAATTCCTGCAAATAGCCATGATTTTGTTTATAACTTTACTTGGCAGTAAGAAGATTCTGCTCCAGAAGAACACTATCCCATACAACACAGAATTTATTAGTTTGGTTCTACTAACATAAGAGAGATGCTTAGTAGCCCAATTAGAGATTTTCTTTGTTAGCTTCTCCACTAGCATATCACACTCCCTTTCACTGATACGAGCAGCAGTAATGGGCCCTCCCAAATATCTGAAAGGAAAGGTTCCTTTAGTCATTTGGGTTTTCACTAGTATGCTGTTATACTGCTCCTCAGAGACCCCACCTACATAAACCTGAGATTTATTATAATTCAAATGTAAACCAGTGGTTTCCTTGAAGTGATCAAGACAGTAGAGGATGCAATCAATGGACTGAGAGTCAGGTTTACGTGCCACTATCACGTCATCTGCAAACACAATATTAATCATTTTAAGGGATTTGCATCTGGGATGATATCTGAAACCTTGGATCTTTGAATAAAAACTGAGAGACCTTGTGAAATATTCCATAACCAGAGTAAATAACAAAGGAGATACTGGATCACCCTGCCTAATGCCTCTTCCTCCCCTGAAGAACCCATAACCTTCTCCATCCAGTTGAATAGAATATGCAGCACTGGTGACACAAAAGTGAATCCAAGTGATGAACTTCTTTGGGAATTTCAATGCATCCATGATCTGAAATAGCCCTTTCCAGCTCACTAGATCATATGCCTTTCTTAAATCAAGTTTCATCAAGCATCTTGGACTGATCCCCTTCCTATTATATCCTCTGGCTAATTCCTGACACAGGAGTACATTATGCACCAATTCTCTGCCTTCAATGAATGCTCCTTGATTGGAGTTGATGATTTGAGGGAGAACCACCTTAAGTCTTGAACAGATAATTTTTTATATTACTTTGTATATCACATTACAACAAGCTATGAGTCTGAAATCACTAGGGTATTCAGGGTTGTCCACCTTGGAAATAAGGCTGATTGTGGTATGGTTAATCTGCTGAAGAGATACTCCATCTTGAAAGAAATCCAAAATAGCTTTAGTTACAAGCTCTCCAATTACATTCCACTGGTTTTTGAAGAATCCACTACTATAGCCATCATGCCCCGGGCTTTTACAATTTGGGATATCAAACAAGCACTTCTTGATATCTTCAACAGTGACAGGCTCTATTAGTAGGAGTTGCTGGTCTACAGACAGCACCTCACCTTCACCAATTATATCTCTCTGAATATCTTCTGTCCATTCTGTTTTGCCCATTAACCCCTGAAAGTAATCCACCATTACCTGTGCAATATCAGCTTTAGTATCCATGACTTATTGTGTTTTGACTTATTGTTGTGTGGTACATCAAAATATTTTTATAAGTAAACAAATATTTTTTCGAAAAAAAATTTCAAATAATACATGTGTAAAAATAAATAATTCATCAAATATATATTTTCCCAATAGAAGTCCTTTATATAAAAAATAATGACGTGTTGTCATGTTGTGAGACGTTTTGACCTCCATCTTCCATGTTACTCGCTCTCGTTTTGTCCACTCTACACCTTCTCAAGTGAGTCTTTCTGGTCATTGCCTGGTTCTTTCACTTCTGGTTCAACTTAGTGTATGCACGTGCAATGATAAAAATCGTAATGTAGTTTTAACGTTCGTACAAAATGATTCCAACTATATATACTTTTAAAAGATGATGTATCTTTCAACTACCCAATAAAACACCTTTATCAAATATAAAATCGCCAAAATAGTAAAAAACTTAAAATCAGATAAATATTTGTGTGGTTCGAATAGTGTCTCTTTAAAATGATATCTTCAAGTAAAATCAATAAGCAAATTGAAAAACCTCTTTTAAAACACATACTCTGTATATTTAAATATGAAAATATGAATTATTATTAAGGAATTTATATGTCATTTTTTGCAAAAATCTCTAACAAAATACTCCTATGTAGTATTTTAGTTGATTTGTTTTGAATGAAATACTCTGTACTAATTTATGCTTTAAAATACTCCGTATCACATTTTGAAAATAAAATTTTCAAATTAACATCATAAACGATATTAAAGATTAGTATTTAAACGTGATGAAGTGTATTAAAATTTAAACATGACTCAACACATTACACATAACTATCTCCAATTGAATTGAACTCAAAAGAAATCT